CCGCCCCCCGGACACACAGCGTGGGCAGGGCTGGGCTGGGGGGCCCCCTCGGTGTGGGGTGGTGGGACGAGGCTCAGGCGCAGCTTGAACCCTGCAAGGGGGACAGAGCTGCCCTGAGTTCAGGGGACGGGGTGAGGATGTGGGCCCAACACCGCGGAGGCACGTAGCAGGTCTCACATGAGCGACGTCCTGTATCCACACGGCCCACCGGTTCCTGGAAGAGCCTGGGAGATTTCTGTGCCCAGAATCCCGACTTGGGGCCATGGACCGGTGGCATGGCAGCTGGGCAGCGCGTCCTTGTCGTCACGTGGTGGCATGTGGACGAGGGTCTTTGGCCCCCTCATGGCTTTTTGGGATCAGCCTGGCTCCTCACTGGCTAAGTCCCATCTGATCGCGTGGGTGGGCGGGCCTGAGGGGCGCCCCGGCCACCCGAGGTGAAGACCGTGACTGTACCTGTCCACACTGACGCCGTCTGTGACATGTCACTCTTCATGTTTAGGCCACCTCATCTTCGACTATGGCACCAATGCCACAGTGTGTCCAGCACTGTCCTTTCACGTGGCCATCTCTGCTTCTGCCTGCCTTGCCTCAGGCCGGCCCTGAGCCGTGCATGCTTTCGTCATGACGCCATTTACCAGAGTTTCGCCTGTGGCCCACGTCACCGACGACACTGACGGTGTGCAGCCCCCATAACTACGTGGGAGTCACACGGCTGTTTCCGCTCGGCCCCGGGAGGCCTGCTGTCCTTGGCTGCGAGAGCACCCGGCCCTCCACCCTTCCTACCTCACCAGCCTGCAGCCTTTTACGTAAAGCATTCACGACCTTAGGGCGAGGCTGTCATTAGCCCTGCCTGGTGCCTCAGGTAAGTTAGGGACCTCCACTGCCTTAGGGAGGCAAGCCGGCAGCCTGGCCTCCCCGCCAGAGGCACAATCAGAGGCAGAGGTCCATTCTGCAAGCAGCATGCTGACAAGGGCAGGAAAACAGTGACAGAAAGGAAAGGCTAACCAGAGCTTGGGTAGGGAAGGTGCTTCTCATCTCTATTATTTTGTGGATGAAAAAGCTTTCTTGGGCCCTCCTAAATTACTGCCTCTCACTTATTCGCTGTTAACAAATGAAGTGACATGGTTTCCCTTTGTTAAAAAAAATAACACATCGAAAACAGGGTAAATTAATTCAGACGCTGAAATACTATGCTACATTACAAATGAATAGACTTCAAACACGTAGTATTTTAAAAGTTGATGCTACATAGGTAAAGAAGTATTTAAAGTATACAACTTTTCATAACCATTATATAAAAAGAACTATCTGCTTCCCTTGTTTCTAATCATCTTTTAAAAGTTTTAAAAAATCTCCACCACAAACTATTAAATTTGTTTTTCCTTTCCAAATAATAAATATACGCATTTTTACATTTGCAAGAACTCCCACATGTGCTCTTTGAAGCTTGGCTTGCATCGAATTTTGCCTACATTTGTAAGCCTAAAAAAATTAATAGCAGGTAACCAGCATAAGAATCAACATCAAAAGCTAAGATACAATTAGAAATTAGAATTCCTTTGTCAGTGACTCTCAACAGTGCCATTTCTTGTCAAGACCAAGGAGTGGGGAGGTGCTGACTGGGAGCAGGTGGAGGCCAGGGATGCTGCTCCAGCCCTGCAATGGACAGGACAGTCACCACCCCCACCCCTGCCCAAAGAATTATTGGGCCCAAAATGCCACCAGAAACGCTGACTTCCATGACTGAAAGAAGGTGGCTGAAGCCCAACCTGCCCTCGCCCGCACCTCCAAACTGGCCACCCCATCTGGGCACGAAGCGGGCAGCCTCCAGAGAGACAAATTCCATTTGACAGTTTGGGGGCCACTATTACAGACGCGTCAAGACTATCCAGCCACATCTATTTCGTGACCCTGGTAATTAATTAGTCCTTTGGGGTTATGCTGTACAAGAAAGATTTTTTAGAAAATAAATGCGGTATCTATTTCCACACAGATTATTCCTGAGTCACAGTGACGTTTTAACTGTTAAAAGAATTAAACAGTTCTATTTGCAGTGGTATAACAAATTTTAATTCAAAATAGACACTCTGAAAACAATAGGTAAAAAAAAAATAAACTTCGACAAGCTCTTTTTGAATTTACAAGAGTACGCCACACAGACCACTTTCACGACTGCCTCAAAAATGCACAGTATAGCAATTACATGCAAGTGTACTTTTTAAAACCCATGTCGTAACATCTTATTTCCCAGAAAATGTCATATTCTCTGAATCTATTGGATAGGTGCCTCTGCTGTGTACCACCAGCACCATGACGTAAGGTCTACACTGGCTGGTCTCCATTACTGGTTCTGGTGCTTTAAATTTTTAAATTGTTATTATGTGAAATTAAAACAAACAAACAACAACAAATACCGAGGTTTAACTGTCCCAAGGACAGCCAACACTGGGGCGTTCTTTGGCAACACCCGCCCCGTGAGCCGACACCAGGCTAGGCGAACGCCCACGTCCCTGATCTGAACACGTTGACCCAGGAAACGTCAAAGGTTAATGGACCCACCACAGAGGCTCGGCTCTCGGCCCACTGATTCGCCCCCTCCCTGAACATCCACGCTTAGGCTTCAGTGTCCACTCCTGAGCAACACAGTCCTTCCCTTCCACTGGTTATGAAGAGTTAGGGGAGTTTTGTGTGTTTTCAGTGTTTATTCTAAAGGCACTAAAGATCTGTCATCTTACCTCTGGAGAAATGACATCGCCATATCAAAACGAGGGGAGAGCACACACTGAGAAGTTATTCTGCACCTACGGAGTTACTTCATTTGTAAAATATCTCTTATGACCTAAATACCAGTTTTCGGGTTCAGTATAATTTTTAACGAATGAAAACATTTGGTTTTCTATGAGTTATAATCAAAAACAGCTGATAGGACAAACTGGAAAAAATGTCAATGAAAACCATAACCTAATAAGCAAATGTCTTACAGAGAAGAAACCAGCGTACGCTAATGCAGTGCGCTCGGACACGGCACAGGGGTTGTACTCACTTTTCTAAACGTTTACCACATCGTTTATGGCTGCATGTGAAGCTGAAAGAGATCAAAGCTTTGATTTGCAGTTAATTAAGTATTCTGAAACAAGCTGACACTTCCTTAAATGAGAAAACCAACACGTGTAAGATTTCAGTTTTTATCATACTGATACTGACTCTACTGGAAAAACAAGGCGTGCGTGAAATATCAAAGGATTTAATTTACTTGAGAGGAAAATACTAAAAATAATTGTGACAAAATCAAACTGCAGGAAACAACTCAGAACTACCACGTCTTCATATGGAAGTCTCGCTCAGCACCTGAAATACGTCTAAAGAGCAGCATAAAGACCACTGAAATTGATTATTAGTTCAACATACAGTGAAGAAAATAACATTTTTTAAATCTCAATTGAAAAAACCACTAATGTCCTAATTTTTTTTTACAAGGTTTGTGGTTCATACTCAAATTTCAATCTATGTTTAACATTTTTAAGTTCAGACATATCAAAGCCTAAAAGTACAGAAGGCTTGTGATTTTTTATTGCTTTCATGCAAATATATCTTCTTTTTCCAAAAAACGAAGCCACATCAATTTTCCACACCCATAAGAGTGAGGATAGCAGTTCTATTTCCTTTTTACTAGGATATGGTCTCTTGTGAAAATAATCTCTAAGGAATTGCTTTTTTTCTTCATAAGAACGATCTTCATATTTTTTAGGGTTTAATGCTAAAATCTGAAGCGTGTCGTCACTGACCACCAGTGGTCCTTCCGTCCTGCTCTCACTCCTTTGTCTTTTAAAAGGCGTGACACTGGTGACCTTCTCAGGGGCCGGGGCAGCATCGCTGTTTACGACAGGAGGCCGTTCCTCCTCCTCTCTCTGGTCCTCTGCCCCAAAGTGGCCATCAGGCAGCTTTCTCTTCACAGAGAAACCGGAGTCGTGCACCACCTCGCCGTTGACCAAAAGCAGCTCGCTGTTCTCGATGAAGTCCGGCTGGACCCGAAGGTCCGAGCTGCTGTCCTTTGGGGCACTTCGACAGCGCACCAGGTGAATGGCGATGGCCGCCAGCGTCATGTTGCCAGTGTAGACCCCACAGCAGTGGATGCACTTGAAAGCCGGCGATTTCAAAATCGTGTGCACTGTCGGCGTGATGTGGTGCCTATCCTTCAGGTGCAGCTCATACGCCTCGGCCGTCACAAAGGTGCCAAAGCAGAAGGGGCAGGTCAGCGCCTGTTTGCCGGGCCTCCCGGGCACGCCCTCAGCCTGAGGCCTCACCTTGATGTACACGGGCACGAGCGACTTGGAGTGTATACCGGCCAAGACCGCCAGGTAGACCTCCCGCTCGCCGAGCTCTGCCCTGGGCAGCGCGGTAACGAAGTCCAGGTGGGGGAACAGCAGGCTGCCGTTGGCATCGACGTCCAGCTGAAAGCCTTTGCTGCTGTAGTCCACCGGCAGCCTCTTCCTGCCGGGGTGCACCGCCCTGCTGTGCTCCGACAGGCCCCGGATGTCGTGGAACGTGCGTGGGCAGAACAGGCAGCCCAGGCCGTGCATCAGCAGGTGCTGGACGAGCTCCTCCTCCGCCAGCAGGCACTTGCAGGAGAGGCAGCGCACGGTCTTCTCTCGCAGCCACTTCAGAAAGGGCGCGCACGCGGCCAGCTTCTCGGGCTCCAGCTTGTCGGCGGGCCTGGGCCCGCTGTGCTTGTGCGCCACCTCCATGTGAACCTGGTAGACGTTGGACGGGAAGAGCTCGTTGCAGACGGGGCAGGTCTTCCACTGCTTCGCCTGCCTGAGTGCCTGGCCGGCCTCCGGTGCGGCAGGAGAGGCCTGCACGAGCACGTGCGGTGCCGCACTAGCCCCCGCAGGGGCAGACGCCACGCCGGCCACGGAGCTGGCCACCTGTGTGGCCGTGCCCGACGGCAGCAGCTGGATGGGCACCTGGGCAGGGGCGACGGTGGCGACGCCGCCAGGTGGCACAGGCAAAGTGACAGACACTGGGGCCAGGGTGTAGGTGGGGATCCCGTTCACTTGCTTCCCAGTCGGTATCAGCTGTCTGAGGATGGAACCCGAGGTCAGGAAGGTTGTGTTCTGGGAGGTGCCAGCCCTCACGGGCGGCCCTGCAGGCAGCAGGCCAGTGTTCACAGACTGGCTGAGCTGCAGGACACCAGGCCGCACAGGCTGGCTCATGGGGAGCACCGCCGGCACGACGGGCTGGCCGAGCTGGAGCACGCCAGAGGCGACGCCCTGGCTCACAGGGAGGATGCCGGACGGGGCCGTCTGGCTGGGGGAAAGGAGCGCGGATGGGACCACCTGGCCTGCCGGAAGCACCCTCAGCGGGACCGCCTGGCCAGGAGGGAGGACCCGTGATGGGACCGTCAGCCCTGGGGGTAGAGCTCCCGGTGGGGCCGTCTGGCCAACGGGGAGAACCCCTGACTGGACCATCTGGCCGGCAGGGAGAACCCCCGAAGTTGCCGTCTGTCCGGAAGGGATGACCCCAGCAGGTGTCATCTGGCCTGTAGGAAGGACACCTGATGGGACTGTCCGACTCACAGAGATCACTCCTGGTGAGACGGCCTGAAGAACCCCAGGGGGGACAGAGGGACTGACGGGAAGGACAGCAGACCCAACAGGTCTGTTCACTGCAAGAACGCCAGACCCGACTGGTCTGCTGGGGGGCCCGACAGGCTGACTGAGGGGCAAGACTGTGGGGCGCAGGACCCCAGTCCCAGCGGGCTTGCTGACAGGTCCCCCTGGCCGGCTCAAGGGCAAGGCAGGAGCACTTGCCGACGGACGCAGCGGGGCTCCACGGGACAGGAAG